ACTTAAGTAATCTAGCATTGTGGATACCACACAAGGGTCTAGGCCACACAAAAAACATGATCTTGGCACAGTGATTTCTATTTTTGTTAAATTGCTACTTTGAGAGCAGCCAGCTAGAACAGAATCAGTGTGAGCATCACAAAAAGTTTATTGTAAAATCAAAGATAATTTCTTTTAGATTACAAGATTGTTTTTGCAAACACTTCCCTAAAATGTCCCACAATGCAGTACTAAATACTAACTTGTTAGCTAAGTGCACCATATAATATCAAATCAGTTTGAAATATACTTAAATGTTGGTGTGAAATAAACTTAAGGTAGAATAGTATGGATAAATGTAAAATAGATATAAAGATAAATAATCATTCTATATATGTCATTTCAGATATGTACAGAAAATGTCTGCAGTTATATTTATATTAAATATCTAATCATATTGAAACTATTCTAAACCTCATATAGCCCCCAGTGGTACAGCAGTATGTCTGCAGACTTACAACACGACACTAGAAACCAGGTTTCGATACCCATGGTGGGCAGAGCACAGATAGCCCATTGTGTAGCTTCGTGCTTAATACAAAAAAACTCAAACAAATAAGTTACTTAAATGTGAAATCTGTGATGAAAGATCCTAAAAAATGTACATGATTTTCAAAAAACCTCAAAAATAAATATTAAGGTTCACAGAAATTTTATAAACACAAGACACTATGAATTTGAATGAAAAAAATTTCCTACTGAAAAAATAACCTTTAACTTATAAGAATCAAATGAAAAGTGGTATAAACTTTTAAATCAAATGAAATTTGGTAATTCAAAATTTTTAAGGTTATAAAAAAAGCAAATAAAATCCAATGCCACAACATCAATGATCACATCATATCCATTAATTTTTTTCAGGAAACATAGACAGGTTTTAAAGGATTACAATAGTAGTTAAAAGCACAGTAAAGGAAGCCAGATAACTTGAGCAATAGGTGTAAAAATAAAAATTAGGCTTAAGGTCTTTATTACTATAGCTATGATGAATAACAAACAAATGCAGTTATAAAATCTGAAAATACAAAAACATGATCCTGATAAAGGTTATTTAACAAAAAATTCCCCTCAATTAGTTTTCTTTAGATGTTTTTAAGTTGCATGTTTAAATATTGATGTCGTGGTGTTGCTAGGCTATCTGGTTTTTTAGTGATAAAGAGAAGATACTAGATTGTTGGTTCTATAATAATATGGTTGGTATTTCTAATGGAATACAGTGTTTGTGGCAGAAGTGACAGTGGTTTCCAGGATGGGAGAAGAAAGGAACCAGTTTTTTTTATCCCATACACCTATCTGATACAATATAAATTTCTATAAATATTTACCTTCTTTTGAAAGATTTCTACCAATTTACAGTTTTATAAAAACATTCCTGAAGAACATCTAAAGAAGTGTTGTACTTAATTAATATTTCGACTCTACTAAAAGGTGCATCAATTTCATTCCCTTACATGTTCTGATAGAGATTTATTGTACTATCTGCTCTTAAGAAAATGTCTGCAGAAAGAAACCTCACAACAATTACACAACTTAATAATTCACATTAAAACACATTTACATCATTAAAAAATCAAATGAAGATGAAGTCTAACATGTTTTTTTTAATTGCTTTTATTGAAAGTTCAATAAATTACCACACAAAAATTTCCTTAATACACAGAACTAGTGATATTAAATACTAAGTGTAGAAACTCTCTTTTAAAAAATATGCAGAAACGTTGCAATACCAAAATTCCAGATCAAAATAAATTCTTAGAAAGAGCAATGTATAAAAATCTCTGTCATGCACATCAAAAATGTAATTTAATCTAAAGAATGCAAAAACAGCCTTTCATCACCAATACAAAAGCAGTTCTTCATGGTAAATATTTAAGTTATTGTGATGGTCAACCATAATATATATAAAAAAAACTGCTTAGAACTAATTTCACTTTTGAGAATATTCTATATTTTAAAAAATCATAAAAGTAAACAAAAAAAATATCTAAGTTAATAATATAGCACTGGCCAAGTTTACTAAAATTTAACATACAAGCCCCTGTAAATGGTATCCTCAAAAATAAGCATATTTAAGATAAACAAAATGAAAAATGTCCAATTGTTTGGTTACATTACAATCAAGATACAAGAAATTAACAAGAACAACAACAACAACAAAAACAATTATTTCATTCCAATGAGGTAATACCTGTTCAAGAAATCACAAAAGGTAAATAGTTTATTAAAGTTTGAAGAGCTAGCATTCTTAAATGTATCATTTCAATGTAAAAAAAGAAAAAGTAATATCCTGTGCATCATTAAGTTTTACATGTTATTTGAACTTTAAAATTTCAAAGGACGTTCTAGATAGATCCAGAGATCTATCAGTATTTGCACAATTGACAAAATCATTCTAAACAACACTACTTGAATTGTTAGAAACCCAAATTAACGAGTTTCTATCTTTCTCAAAAGCCAAATAATGTATAGTTTTCAGTTACATGCACTTCATATATCACAGCTCGTAAAGCAAGTTTGTACTTGAGCTTTATTGAATTAATGATATTTAAAAGTTTATGTTAATTTCATTTAATTAAGTCTTCAAAATGAACTGCTGGTCGATGAACAATTCTTTTCTTGGTTCCCAAATTAACCATCCACAAAATGCTACGATTTTGATCATTCTAAGTTCATAAATGTAGAATATGAGGAGCTTAAATTTATAAAAGTTATTTTTATGACACAAGCTGACTGAAGGCCAAATTAAAAAATCTCAACTTTTTTTAATGTGCAACAGTTACCTTTTTTAAAAAAAAGATTGAAATACTTTAGTGCCAAATTGAATGCATTACTTTGCAGGCCCAGAAACATGAAACACAAATAAACAGATAAAGAAACAATTACGAACTTATCTACAAATGAGTGTACCAATTAAGAATACATAAAAAATATAAACATCTAACAGAAACAATAAGGAAAAAGATATCATTCTCTTATTCCTACTCTTTCAGTGTTATTATGTTATTTGTAATCTTACAAAAATTACATTTTGTTTTAAATATGGTTTTAATCAAACTACTTTGTCTATGTATTTAAAATTGAAGTATTCTTCACATCATCTCACGCTTAATGCACTTATCCAGATATTACTTTGTGTCTAGTGAGCCTGTATCTTGTGTGTTTTTGTTGTTGTTCTTTAGTTGTGGCAACTACGTTTTTCCTATCTAATTACAAAAAAATACAAAATTGAACAATTACTCTTTCAATGTTATTAAATAAACTTTTGTAACAACAATATCTATTACTATTTGTAATTTCTTGTTTCTCTAGTACAGATGTTGTGAATCCAATATATCAACAACTCAAATGGGCTAAAAAAAACAGAGATCATATTTAATCACAGTAAAAACTTCTCTGTAAACTCTGCACTTATCAAATAAAGTGCAAACTGTACAACGAATAGCTTTTCTCTACAAAAATGTCAATGATACAAAGTTTCAATTTCTCATGTTATGTAATGTAAAATTTACTGTACTTTTTTACAACCAAAGGTCTCTTTTTAATTTTGTTTGCTTCAGTACATTTTTTGTTACATTATACTGTTGTGAGAGCAATGTATACAACAGCAAAAAAAGTTGGCATCTTAAAAAACAAGGAGACTATCTCCATCAATGAAGGGTTTTTGGGATACTTGCATTTTTCTCTTCTTCATCCCATCACCTTATACCTGAGATAGCATAAAACTTGACAAATGTAACAATTTAAAAAAGATGTATTAAAAGATATAAATCTTACTCTAATAAGACATTTCATAAAAAAGTTTAAAAGTTCAGTATATTTTGAAGAGGGGCTAAAGAATATTTAAACCATAAAAATAATTCTCTATACCTCTTCTAAGGTGTTTAACAGTAGAAAAAGAATCTGAACTGTGATATACAAAAAACTTCATAGTGGCAAAAACACATCAGAAGGCCTGAAATGTTTTTGGCTCCATTCATCAACTTGCACAAGATGAAACCATCTCTATAACACAAGGCTTACTTCTGATATTCTAGAAACTGGGTATTCAGTTTCTTAAAGTTGAATAGCTCATAACATTGCCACAGACAAAGAAACATACAAATCAGTAACTTCCACAAAGTAACAAACACATTTTAAAAAAGCAAAGGATGAAGAGCAGAAGAAAGAATTGTTTGGCACCTATGGCTACACACACACATATATATGTAACAACCAATAATTTTAATCTTAAAACTAAGACTTAATTTTCAGTGCATATTAAACACACAGCTGATAACAAGTTAAAAATAAATCAGTCTTCCTATAATCTTTCTTTAGAGACACCAATGGTCAGAGGTATTATTAATTGAACTGGGTATTACCCTAGTCTCATCTTGCTCACATAAATCTTAAAAAAAAAGTAAAATTAATCTTTGATTAAATACAACACTGATATGGATATAACAAAATTATATCTAATCTTTACTTCAATGTGCTTCAGAATTTCACCTAACAAAAGTTAATAAGTAAAGAAGTCTTTGTAGCCCTGTGACTAGGAAAGTAATATTAAATACCAACAATGTACAACAGAGACACGTTCTATGCGCTATGTTTTAAGTCTATGCATCTAAAAATAAGTCTGTTTAAAACATTTTAGAGAAATGTGCTTAGAACCATAAGCAACTTAGCTATTACATACTTTGAATTTAGTACACATACTAAAAAGCAGGTTAAACACTAATAAGTTTCCAAGATCTATTAAATTTTTAGGGCCAATCAATTACTAGTTTATCCTCTAAAAATACAAACATATGTTACATACCCAAAATAAGGTTAAACAGATCTTGAGTGTGCTTTAAAACTGGCTGAACCTTTTCATTTAGTTTGCAGAACTCCATGTTTATGGCAGTTGTACACAACTTTAATGTAAAATAACTTCATAAATAAATAATTATTTTACTTCTGGCTAACTCAGCATTATGATCCCGCATACTTTTAGCCTCTGGTAGACATATAAACAAATTTATAATTTCACATTTCCTCCTGTTGTTCTGATTCCATGAAAAAAATATTTAAACAGCAAAGAAGTCTACATATATGTTACCTGTTAATAATGGAGAAAAATTCTGACATAATATCTACTAATGAGTCAAAAACTAATTTCCTGTTTAAGTTTAGAAAATCCAAGTACCTGATTTATAAATCGTTTTGAAAGTTATAAAAGCTACAACTTAGGTATTATTATTATTGTACTTAGTTTTCTGTGTGTGATGTTTGATATACTGTCAAATTAAATGTGAAAACAATATATATACCTACAGAAGCTGAATATTTTAATGTTGCAATTTGAAAAAACAAAATAAATTAGTCTAAGCTTTTTGTTACTTGTATTTGTTGGGTTTGAAAACTGATATGATATTTTACTTTTTCATTCATTTAAGTATTAGTCAAAACAAAAATTATGTTATGTTCAAAGTGCCATTCAATCTTAAAATTCGTAGGAAATATTATGTCTTAACTGTGGAAGTAGAAATCCTCGTTTCCAATTTTTACATACATAAGCTGAAAAATCTCAGCAATGGAATTTTGAAAAAAGGGATATACTAGAGTACATTAACTTCAGGCAAATTAAAACCGTGTGTAAAGGGCAAACAAAATTGCTTAATAGTAAACTATTCCCTGTTTAAGTGAAAACAATGTTGCACTTGTGCTGAAAAATTATCACCATCTTTTATATTAAACCCTTGTTTCAAAGAAAACTGTGTTCATTACTATTTAACAAAAAATAATTTACTTCTAAGTCAAGGTAATGAAGATCTCTAAAGACAATTCTCTTTTTATAATTATTTAAATTATCAATAAAAAGTGACTAGATTTATTGTACTTAAATAATGAAAACTATTTCTGTTGAACTATCAATAACAGGATTATACATAAAATATTGGAAAACAGCTGTCCTTACAAAACACTCATCTTCATTAAACTGTAAGTTGTTTGTTAACTATTTCACTAATAGAAATTTCTACTAGAAATTTTCAATATACATTATACAGCTTTTGTGTAAATTCAATGATAAAAAAGCATCTGTTTTGACAAGTACAGTTAATTCATTAGTCATAAGATCATCTTTATGTGTTATCAGAAAACACTAAAAATAAAATCTGTTTTTTTCCACAGCCCTTGCTTGACAAGGGAATTCGAATTTTGATATAACAAATTAATCAGATAAAATATTTTTCTCAGACAAACCTGTTGGCTACAAGACTACGTTCAACTACTACAAACCATCTATAAGAATAAATAATTCTAATTCATTTACCCATTGACTATTTCTATTATCTATCCTCATTTATTCATCTTATTCCACTATTCTGAAAATCTTTGAGATCAGTAAGTGATTATTAAATTCTTCCATTTAAACAAAAAAATAATAATTTCTGAATATCATCTGCACTCTATTTGTAGATAAATCTTTACACCTTACCTCCACGTAAACAGCCCAAATAGTGTACAGCATACTAATAATCAGGGTCACTAGCTTGTTTTCCAAATTAGATATAGTATGTTGCAAGTTTTTCACACACACACAGTCACATAATTATAAAAATATGTTACATCCAAACCCACAAAGTCATAAGATTAAATTCAAACAATAACGTTTTCAAAATCTCACTGGACATACATAACTGATCAATCAGCCTAAAACCTTTAAGCAACATTCAAGTAAAAAAACAACAATAAAGTATGACTATAAGAATAATTACTTAGTCAATCTAGCTTCCCTGACAACAAAATATTGATATTCTTTATATGATAATGTAACAATGTGAAATAAACAAAACAGATAAAACACAGGTCTTGAAATTATTGCACATGGCTTTACCAAAAAGGAACTGTATTTGATATCTTTAATACAATTTCTTCACAATAAACATGCTGAATAATTTGAGTTTGTTAGGCAAAGTACTTTCTTATAACATGAACAATTCCATTTTATGTGGAACCAGGATAGCTTGAATTCTTTATTTAACAATATCCTAATCTAATATTTCTGCTGTCATATTTACATGAGTGCAGTAATATTATCAGTAAAAAACATTCAATGTAGGAAACAAAAGTTCAGTGGAACAAGAAGATAATAGTGTAGGACAGCTACTTAATGAAAGAAAACCAAGGAACATGGAACAAAAAATGTTAGACTTCAACATAATACATACACACATATTCATGAAACAAGTTTCTAATCAAATAATTTATCATGAAGCAACATACACATACACTGCAAACACATACCCTTATATTAAAGCATAATCACAGTAACACATATTAGTAAACACACATTTTTGTAAGCTTATTTTCACTTAAAGTAACTCAATTACAAGCCTGTAGAGCTAGTGACCCAACAATTATTGACTTGCAGAATCTGCCATTAATTCAAGAAGTCATATTTATTTTGGACTGACTAGTGTTAAGTACATTTCTACCCAAAACTACAAGAAACCTTAAAGTGCTAATATTTTACCAATTGACAACACACACATTCACTAATATATTATTTTCTGAACATTTTTACACCCATATTTATCACAAAAATGAAGCGTGCTACAGAGTAATGGTAACAGGATTACAGGTCCAGTATACAACACATTACCTCATAAATAACACACAACAACCATGTTTTTCAGTGTTTTCATAAGATTTGAATTGTGGTGGAACTTGGTCTTTGTATGTTATCTACGAGTTCTTTCCCACATTTGATGTCCCAGCAGATGTCATATCTCGTGCACTATTTGTACATGTCTACATTAGTTAACTATCACTAGCAGTAGTCTGCTATATTACTATCAGTTACATGAACTACCTGAGGGACATTTAAGAAATATAACATATGCACAATTAGATATACTACTATATATCAGAATGCTAATCTTTTCAATGAAACGAGATAATTAAATAATTTATAGAGTATTGCTAATAAGAATGTTAATTTTTGTGTAAAAACAAAACTGACTATAGGTCAAGACAATGCTTGCCAAGAAAAAATAAATGGCTATAGTGCATTGTACAAACTACTTTTTAACTATAATGGGTATAATTGTTTTGTTCCACAAGATATTAATCAATAGAGGGAACATGGAGCATACTTAATAATTTCTATAACCCCAAACAACCTTCAAACAGTAAGCTCGGAGATGTATTCAGAGATTAATACCAACGAAAAGGAACTGCTCTTGGTCTGTCGGCTCCTTCTTTGACTAACGGCTTGTGAAATTCTCGGCCAGGTCGAGAATGGATTGCAGCCCAGCACTGTTCACAATAGTACTGAAGACAAGTTACATTGGCGCAAAAAAAAGGAGCAAATTTACCCCCGCATCGAGCACCTTGGCACTCATCACACATTTGATCATCTAGAACATACGGTTTGACTTCAACCTAATACAAAAAAAAGAAGTATTATTAATTTTGTTTATTTCATTAAGACAAAATTAAAGTGATAAGGATCAAGTTGGATAAAATGTGTCATAGCAATATCATTCATTAAACTCCAAATATGAAGAGTTATTTCATGAGAGAATTACCTCAACACTTACTTTTCACATTTCAATAAAATTAATTATCTAATACAAATGTTAACATTTTCTTTACCTGAAAATGTATTTCCAATAGCTAGCTTCTTTTCTCTTCAGTTCAGGTGTTCTGCCAAAGAGATTTGCAAGTCACCTGCCTGGTGAAAACTCCCATCTAATCTTACGTAAAAACACGTGAACTTGCACCATCTCATATTGACATCATCATACATTAGAACCCTTCACCAATAGGAATGTGACACACCTCTATGCTTACTGGCTCCCTCTACATTTGCACATGTGAATTCTCATTCTTTGGCAAGACAATAAACAAATGTGCACTGGAAAAGTGGGGAGAATGTGTGAAGAGTATCTATCAGAAACGCATGTTAACTTTGGAAACGATACCTCACCTCTACACACGGATAGCTAGAATCCCATGTTGAGATGTTGGAAGGACTAGTGCAAATACACCCACTGAAGAAAGCCCATGGGGTGTGATACCCGATGGCAAAGACTCCATAGGGAGCACACCTTTGGAAGACCACATCTCATCTTGTCCAGGGTATGCTCATCACCAATGTAGAAGAAGATAAAAGGCAATAAAGATATAAGAGTGTCGCAAGAACAGGCAGAACAGGTACATGGCCTTCCAAGAATTTGTACACAAGCTGGCAGACAACCAATATGTGTAGTGAGGTTGGGGCTTGCTCAGACTGTACCTTGTGTGCTTACCTCCTATACCATCAGACACAATGGGTGAAAACCAGCTGTGGGAGAAGGGCACTTGAGATAAGAATAAATGCTCACCTCCTCTACTGTTAATCTCTATGGGCCCCATACCACTCAGCTGTCAGACTCTGTGGGCTGCACACTAGCTGTGGGAGTGGAGTGTATTTTTGTTCTTGTTTTTCCCAGTATGATATAGAATGGGCCAGAACAGGTATAACATCAGTCCACTTAAAGATTGAAATGTATCATAATTAGATATATGGGGTGATCCTCATTCTAGCCCCAGCAGTTAGGTTTGAATCAGTGAGGATTCTCCATGGTCCACCACCCCAGCAGCTGGGAGATACTGTAAGTGGCAATAGAAAGAGAAACCTTAAGTAGTCTTGCAGAACACCCATCTCACAGTGGGCACTTGTAGAGCTAAGTAAGATGGTACAAATGCTTTCCTTTATCCTGGCTTGATGCAGATTTTGGGTAAGTATACCCTGGGAGGAAACACTAGCTGTCTAGTGGGATCTTACAGTGATTGTGAGGTGAAAAACATTTTGTACACTAACCTGCCCATGAATGCAGGGTGGATTGGGGAATGGCCATAGGTGGAAGTCTAAATTCCTATGGAGATGAGACAGCCAGGTGAAGCAGATAGTTAGCGACAAATAGCTGAGTGGCAGTCCAAATGCCAGTATCTAGAGAATATTAGAGATGATGAATCTGAAGAGAAGAGACACTAAAGAGCATGAAAAAGTCAAATAAAGAAGAATGCAGTGGGACTGACACTATATCAAACAGAAAAGCAAGAAACTGGAAATGTGGTCCAGATGGATGAATAGGAAATATATCATGAGGACAGGGTGATTGGGATGTGGAGAAAGCACGTACCAAACATAGATCTTGGTCAAGACAGGTTAAAATGACCAATGGAAAGAGAAATTCACCCTCCAATGTTTTGTGATGACCAAGAAATGGCAGAGGGAAGAGTAATTGGTAATTGGGTACCAGTAACTGACCTCTAGAGGGAGAACAGAAAGGCAGGAGTGAAAATCCAGAGAGGTGACTCCAAAGACTGGGAATCCAGGAACAGGAAATGCAAGCAACTAAAAGAGAGAACAAAGAAGGCAGTAGGCAGGGAGTACAATGCATAAAACTGCAAGAGAGAAGGTGAACCTGAAAAAAAAGTGGCATATACTGATATAATAAATTAGGAGGAAATATAAAGAAATTGTGAGGAAAGAATTATGAAAGCAAATGGAATGAGTCAAAATACAACAGATTAAATAACTAGATACTTGAGATATAAGGTGAAGAAAGTCAGAAGTCTGAGAGTGTCATTTATTAGGTAGAGTAGGTCATAATGCAAACCTGGAGGTGGAAATTTGTGCTCAAACTTGTCCTCATCAGTTTCAGGCATAAAAACAGGGAAGGGAAGTAAGTAGTAGGAATGGGAGAAGAGGATCCTGGCTGCATAATGGACCCCACCATCACTTCTTCCATAGGAAAAGAATTTTCAGCAGAAATGGCATTAATTTCTTCAGCTTTAGAAATATTCACATTAAATTGTGAATTCATGTTGAGTTTAATAAACTCAAGCAAGTAAAAAAATGAAAAATATTACACAACTCAGCAAACTCAAAAACATGTCAGTGCACTACAGTGCCAAAGAAAAGAAAGAGAATTCACAAGGGCAAATGTAGAGGGAGCCATTTTGCATGGAAGTATGTTGCACTCCTACTGGTGGAGGGTTCTGCTGCATGATGACATCATCATGCAGTGGCGCAAGTTCATGAGTTTTCATATGAGATTAGATGGAAGTTTTCACAAGGCAGGTGGCTTACAAATCTCTTTGGCAAAACATGCAAACTCAAAAGAAAAGAATACAGCTATCTAACATACTGTTGTTGTGAATGTGCTTTGTAGTCACTATGAGAAAAACCTATACACTGGATAGGTGAAGTGAAGAAAAAGTGTTAGTAGCCATGTTGATCAAAGTGTAGATTGAATTAGACCTTTCTTGAACTTAGACTTCGAGATTAGATAATTTTTGAAAAACTAAGATTTTTTATTAAGATAGCTATCTGTTACGGAAGTAATGTATAGTTTCAAAACACATTTTTAGCCCATTATGCACAAGAGATATATCTTATAAAGTTTCAATAAAGCCAGTTATTTACTACTGTAACACTTTTGCCTCTCTATGTTCTACAAAGATAACTTTCTGTGATTGAGATGTTAAGTCACGTTATGTAAATGAAAACAGTTATCAACCCACAAAAATAAAAATAAAAACACCCCTGACATTTTACCCAACAGTCTTATTTTATAATGTTTGGAACATGATATTCACATAATATTAAGTTCACAAGGAACAGAACATAATTATTCAAAAATAATTAATAAAATTAAAAGCTGACATCTAGACAACAGATTTGTGTGTTAAAGGTGTTCCAAAAACACTGTTTTGAACAAGGCTCATATCAAGTGAACCAGAAATAAAGTGATTTTAATTTTAAGCTAAGTATTTCTAATTCTTAAGACCCACTTTTAGGTAATTTTTAAAAAAAAAGTCTTATTTCTAACAAGATTACAGATATCTTGTGATCAGAATTTAAGTGAATTTCCTTTGAAAAAGATGTGAACATCCAAACCTGTTAAACCTATGCATATCAAGGTTTAACAGTTTTGGATATTCACACAAACCTGTAAATAAACTACAAGGCTCTAGACATACAAAAGCAAATTAGAAATCAGAAAGAAGCCCTTTAATTAATAAATGAGTTACAAGTAACTCATTATTAAACTCTAAATTATAGGTTTAGGTTAAATTTTTATTTTTTATGAAAAGGTATCCAAAACTTAAAAAATTTTATTTAAAAAGGGCAATAGGGATCATCAAAAACGTACAAAAACAAGTTGAATCAAAATGCAAATATTATATTTTCAAGCCTGCAACTATTCATAGCTGTTTCTTCTGTAGCAGCTTGTAAAACTATAATCAATAATCATAAGGCTGGAAACACTTATAAATATACACATTGTTTACTCTAATAAAATGAAGCATTTCCAACTAGTATAACAGTGCTTAAATGACTTCTACATTTCTGCAATGCTTGAATGGCTTCAAAGAGCTCATGTTAGTAGCAAAGAAGAACTTGGAATATTTTAGAGGGTGGAAATCTCAACTTTCAAGAATCAACTTAAAAATAGCCCTACAACCTTCACAGGAGTTTGTTTAGTAGCTGTGCATAGATTTTGGCAGAGTATACCTAGTGTCTTTTGCTGTAGGCTTCAAAAAAGAAACTTGGCCATTAGTGATGAAAAAACTGATCAAATCTCTCCTTTTTAAGGATCAACATAAAAATAGTCCTATAACCTGTGCAACAAATTTTTTAGTAGGTTTGCCCAGGTTTGAATAAATTATTCATAGCCATTTTTTTATTTGGCTTATGAAACAAGAATAACATGATTAATAATAATATTATAAAGAACAAATGGATGAATTTTGAATTCTGTCTAACAATAGGAAAATAAACTTTTTTGCTATTATCAATATTTTAGCAGCCTTACCCATTGAGATAGAAACTCTTGAGTGTGGTGTCTCAAGAACAAATCTGCTTTTAAGGTGGTTTTTGCTCATATGTTCTATTAGAATTTTTGTGAAGTTCCTAGGCATTCCCTATTATGAACCATGATAGTGGTTCATAATTACTGTTGTATGACTAATATTGTAATACTTTTCTTCTTTACAATATAATTAGTAAATTTTTCTATCAATAACTACAGATATAGCAATAACAATGATTACAGGGGAAGAGTCTAGCAGGAAAGGGTTGAAAACTTTGTACATATTTTGGTTTTTCAAAGAATAAAATTTAAGTCTTTTTTTTTTTTCTTTCACATAAATATTTTTCTCTAACAACTAATACCTCGATACATTAACAAAGACCTTAAACCATAACTCTGCAGGGGCTCATCCAGAATTTCATTTAGGGGTTCGCTACTTGATGGAGTCAGGGCATACTTTCCTGCAAAATGTTTTAAATTATATGAACTGGCTCATTCAAAAAAATTATGCCTATGGAAGTGGGGTAGGATAGATAGCATATTTTAGATTCCACCCTATGTTTTTTTGCTGATAATTTTCCTTTATTATTCCTTGATATTTTTAATTACTTATTTTTATTTTTTATTTAAAAAAGTTAGACAAGCCACCCTATTCAACCCACCCAACAACTACATGGATCAGCTCCCAATCTGCATCTCAGAAAAATAAATATTCTTTTGGAACTAGTAAATATGCTATATTTATACACACCCTTTTTTCTATGTCTCCATGCTGCAGTTGCACAAAACGAGCACTAATGGCTGCTATGTAGCTCTGCTGACTTGAGAAAGCCACACGCCCTGCTCCTTTTGGATACTTCAGTTCAGGATCAGTATCAATACCAGCATAACACACTCCACCATAGAGTCGGTCCATAATAGTGGCTAATTCAACTGAAAATACAATACACCTTTTTCAAAATGTAAAAAGAAAACTGTGGACTCAGAAGGGAAAAATTAATCTTCTTCTAAGAAAAAGCTTACAGCTTTTAAATGCAAATTGTGAAAATTAGTGTTTGACAGAAGAGACTGTTGGTTATAAAAGGTCTTGAGAAAGAATGTCAGAGCTTTAATTATACTAAGTTTAAGAAAAACTTAAAAACAAGAACCTATCATGGAAATAACATATTTAGTATCTTAAAACTAAAAAAACAGAAAATTAGTCATTAAAATATTTAGTTAAACAGTCTTATTTTACCTAAATTACTAAGTTATTACTGTGAACATAGCACAAGATACTTTTAGATTTATTGTGCAAACCCTAAGTCACATAGCACACTCACATGCTTTCAATGGGCGAGGGACACCTCCTACAAAAACAGTCTTCCTTGGATCAAGAGGCAAGGAGGAGTCAAATACATAGTCAGCATCACTAATTCTCCACGGACGTATTTGAACCTGAGGAAAAGAAATTTTAAATAATAATAGGTATGGAAACATAAATTGTTTGTTTTTTTATGTCAAAGCTACTAAGGCTATCTGCTGATATCCATAATTTTGAAGTGATGAATTTCATTCAAACAAATCTTAATATTACCATAAAACAAAACCATGATCAAAGGCAATGTAAAACTGCCTGCAAAGTTCAACAACTACAGGAGAAAGTTGTGAACCTATCAGGGTAGCACCTGTTGTTCTGAAAACTAAAAGTTCCAATGAAAGTAGTTTGACTGTAGACAAATCTAAAGAAGTTTGGTAATGTTTCTGATTTTGTGTCCCACTAGGTAATTTCATGTGAAAGAGTTCCAAATTGTTGATAAGAACTTGGCAGAAATATATTGGTGAATCAGTATAACAAACAACTGATCTTAGAGTATGTTGGGTTTATCGATTTTCAATAATCCATAATGCTGTGGAGGTGGAGAATGATGAAAAGATAAACACTTTTAATTGTTCTAAGTAATACTTCCTTCATTCACAAGCTGTAATAAAATTTTAGTTCTTTTTCCACTGGATCTGATTTTAAAGATAAATAGACATAATCAGACAACGTTTAACTTTCTTTCTATACTTTTTTCATAATGACTGTAGAATATTCTTTGTCTGTTAGTATTATCACAACAGTATCATCCTTTCCTAGGCTGAGAAATCATGTCAGTTTCGTATAATTCATGCTATTTGTTTAACTTCTTCCTCAGCTGCTGAACTTTACGAACAATGCAACAGCATCTTGTCAGCATTACATTACCTTGCTGGTTTTATACATTACTGATATTGTAAAAGAAAGACAAGATCAGTTTGAACCACATTTAAATACTTACATAATCAACCTTAATCCATATAATTTCCCTTGGAAGTGGAGAAGAATAACCCTTCATCCCTTCTAACAAAGAACACCAATGACCACGAACTATAAACTAATATACATAATAAAGCAGCCATCATGAATAAATATTGGAACTACAGATCTTGTCATCCTGTCTCAGTAAAACACAGCATTGTAAAAGTACTGTTGTGTAAAGCAAAAAAGGATATGTACTAGTAAAGAGACCATCTGTGATGTAAGTAACCTAACAAAATATTCATTAACCTTCAGGAAAACACCAAATCATTTTATCTTATATCCCAGGACTAGGATAAAAATAAGGTTATGAAGATCTTTAGTAAATAAAACAACTTTTAAAAGTCCACCAAACTTGAGCAATATCTTGATATCTGTTCATCAAACATAAAGTATCTTACAGTCATGTCATTCATACGAGTGTAAATAAAAAGTGTTTGTCAGAGAAATCCAATGCCTCTTCAACATCATTATGAAATAACCTCTATGATACACTGTACATTGGGCTATAGAGATTTCAGTAGTAGCATCACATGTACAGGAGCAAGTACATAATCAATCTAAATATGATAAAGGATACTGACCAGGAATGCAATATTAAAAAAAGAGGAAAATAAAGAATCAATTGCTATTGTGGTCATGAAAGTGGTCCTTCTATAGACATTAATCAGATGCATGGATACCCCCTTGAACTGTTATTGATTATCAAACAACTTATATAATCACCTAAACATCAAGAAATGGCTTTTCTTCCAAATTTTTCTATTATTATTATTATTTCTATTTACCTAGATCTGTGACCTTTTATTAAAGAAAGATGAATTTTTTAATTATTCCCTCTTTAATATTTTAGTAAAATTTTTCTATTATTATTTCTATTTACCTAGATCTGTGACCTTTTTATTAAAGAAAGATGAATTTTTTAAATTATTCCCTCTTTAATATTTTAGTAATATGTCTTAGTTTCTAGTAATTATTCAAATTGTTTTGTGAAATCATTCTTGCAAATTAAAAGGCATTTCAATGATGAAATTATTGCTTAGAAACATGTGCTTTGGAATATTCTATTAATAAAACAATTTATGAATAACTCAAGAAAGTTAATATTTTCTTTATCTCAGAACATATTTCTGATAGATACAGAAATGCTAACTTCCTTATGTGTTTGCCTATGAGATTTGCATGCCACTAGCCTTGAGGTAACTCCCACCTAAATTCACAAATAAGAGGGTGACACAACCTCTGTGCACAGCAACTCCTCCTATACATTTGCACTTGTGATAACTTCATTCTATGATGAGACAAAACAAAATGTATACCAGAAGTGGGGAGGACAGGTGGAAATGTGTACAGAGGTGAGTATCTATTGGAAAGACATTTTTAATTAAGAAAAATGTCAACTTCTGAGAAGGTAACTCATCTCTAAACACAGAAAGGTTAGAATAATCCCACATTCAAATGGTGTAGGGGTTGGTGCAAAATTTTCCTTACATGAGCTCCTTCAGAAATTGCTCAAAAAGAAGCCCATGGAGTGTGACACCTGATGGCAGGGGCACACCTGTGGGAGACCTCAAGTAGTCTCAACCAGGGTATACTTTTCACCCAAAATTTAAGGAGAGAGAGAGAGGCAAATGAGCCCTAAGTGTTACAGGGACAGGCAGAATGTGAACATAACTGTTTAAGGCCAACAAAAATATGAAGCAAGATAATGAGTCAGGTGACAAATCCAGTGTGAAGAAATGTAAAATAGCCCGCAAGAATCCACAACCAGAAATGAATATATCAACCAAAGGAGTCAACAGATGCATCCAATAATGGTAGAAGCATAGAGGTCACTGGAGAAAGACGAGTCCCAGAGTAAGGACAGACAATGGTGGGGACCCTGAAAGGAAGAAGTCCATGATAAGCAGCACCAAGCAACCTGAACAGGACGCAGGAGTCAATTTAGGTCCAAATGATCATATAAGCACAGAAGGAGATAAGAGAGAAAGTACAGTTACCTTCCTGAGTGTTAGAAGTCTGAAAAAGTCTGAAAAGAGGAGTATATAACTGTGGTGGAAAAGGGTGTGAGAATGTTCAATAGCGCAGACATCTGAATGATGGCAATCACACGCGAGGAGGAAACAAGTCTACAGTGTAAGAATATACAAAGACCAAGAAGAAAAAGACTCAAATGGGGAACACATGAGAGAGTGCAAAACCACAGTAAGCTCCCCGTCAGGCATGGAAGTTGGAGAATGAAGGAGTGAAACAGAGTGGAGAGAACAGGGGAAGAAATACCCTTAATCAAATGAGACAGGTACCTACAGGGTAGAGCATGACATGATAGTCACTAGCAAGTAGAGTGATAAACTAGACATCTGGTAGAAGGAAGATGAGAAAAAGAAGAAGGCCTGGAATGAAACTGGAATAGGAAGGTTAGGAGGTAGAGTGATCAAGACGAGGAACAGAAGTAAAGGGCAAGGCCGAGAAAGAAGAAAAACCTGGAAAGATAATAAGGAGTGAAGTTGTATAACATCAGTCCAGGTCTGTAGAAAGAAATGAACACCACCAAAGATGTTGGGGTGAAGAAAGGGATCTCGATGAAGACCACATACACAAGAAAGAGGAGGAATGTGTACAGTAAAGAGGAAATAACCCAACCCAAAAAGTCCCAACATCAAGGGAACAATGATGAGGAGCCTCAGACAAAAGGTAAAGGTAGAAGAATGAATACAGGAGGGTAGTGAGAAAAAGACAATGATGTGAAAATGGAGAACAAATAAGTGAAATAGAAGGCAAGGGGCCCAATCCCCAAGCAGGTCAAATAGGTATCAAAAACAGGGAATTGAGAAAGAAAAGGAAGAATGTCCACAAATGAGGACAAAAACACAAAGGGGATCAGGCATTTGAGTGTGAGAAAGCAGCTATTAGAGAAAAGAAAAAGTATAAACCCTAATAACAAGCAAGGAGGAAAGACATGGTAAACTACATCAATTGGGATCATGGCATAAAAATGAGAAATAGTAAAGAACACAGGCAAAAGATAAGGAAAGGAACATCCATCAAATTTAAATCCAGAAAGAGATTGGAAGGTTAAGGTTATTTCCTCAAATGCTAAGGCATTACTCAAAACAAATCAGGTTAAATTCGTTGTCCAACAGATCATTCCCAATAGAGAAGAAAGAATTTCGACTGACAGGGCAGGAGTGGGAGGCCCAGTAATCATGTAGTAATCAACATGTTGAACAATGGCTGCAACATTCCCAAGAGTTAACAAGCCTCCAGAAGCCATAGAAGAAATAAGGCCTGTGTGTGTAATATCATCACTCACACAGGACTAAGCAAAAGTCACCATCATTTGAGAATTCTTGATAAAAAAATAAATAAAGCTTTTTAAACAAAAAAACAAAGTTTTGTTAGCAAATGCATATCTCATCGAACAACTCAGATGAGAAATTCTGAACATATCTGTTCAATTCAATGCCGAGGAGAATAATGAAGTTATCACAAGTGCAAGTGCATAGGGGGAGTTACTGCACATGTAAGTTGTGTAGCCCTCCTACTGGTGGAGGGCTTTTGTTGCATGATGACATCATCCTGCACCAGCACAGTCCACGTCAAATATATGAAGCTAGGTAGGAGTTACCTCAAGGCTAGTGCCATGCAAGTCTCATAGGCAGACATGCAAGGAAGATAGCATTTCTGTGTAAGGATGCGAGTTACCATCTCGAAAACTCATCTGTCAAAGGTTCTATTTCTGAGGTCAGAAAGCTTCTAAAATAACAAAATGTAAAAAAACCATGGAGAAAATTTGCTTTTTGAAAGAACATTTCAGAACTTGTTTTAATATTCTAAACAATTTCTTAATCCATATGTCCAAATATTCTGTACATTTGCTAGTCTTTAGAAGGCAACTGGGCCATACAGAAGTAGATGAACATTGAGTAAAACTGTGATTGTATCTGCATAATTTATCAAGCCAAAATTATACTGTTCTCATACTAGACTCACCAGCTTGTCTTTAATAGTGGGACTAGACACACACAAGTAAAGTCTGTCTTCTTCTTGAATGCAGCTGTCTATCAACAACTGGACTGACGACTGTTCTTGGAACAATAAGAAAGCATAACCTAAACAAAGACCAAGATGTAATTAATGTATATTCAAGGTCCTCCAAGGCAACTGTTATCATAATTACAAACAAACCAATAACACATTCTTTAGTCATTTAAAGAGCAATATCAGCCTAATGAGCTATCGAACTACAAGTAATGTAGTATCTCACAAAAAAAAAAAAACTTCGTAACATATCTAAAAACCAAATAAAATATATTGTTGTCTTGATTTTCACATGAAGTTCATTTTTCAAGTGGTATACAGTGTCAATTACCTTAAAACATGTGAAATCTACAAAAAAAAAACTTTACAGAAAGGACAGTAAACAATAAGGAATACGCAGAGAAGATGGAGTAGCCATGAGAATTTGTGGAAGCTGGAGTAGCCATAAGAATTAGAGATGCTGAAATAGCCACAAAAATTCTTAGAGTAACTAGTGTAGCCATGAGAAATATGTAGGGGGAGCTAAAGATCCATGAGGTTTAGTTAAGGAATTTGTAGTAGTCATGAAAGTTAATCAGGAAAGACGGGATAGCAATGAGAATTAGTTTGGGAAGCTAAAGTAGCTATGATAATTAAAGAAGCAAAAATAGCCATGAAAATTACTCAGAGTAGCTGAAATAGTCATGAGAGTTAGACAGAGAATTTGGAGTAGATATGAGAATTAGTTAGTGAATTTGGAGTAGGCATGAGAATAAACTAGGGAAACTGAAGAAACCATAACAATTAAAAATTCTTCAGTAGCAATGAGAATAACTAGCATAGCAGAATAGTTAAGGAATCTAGAGCAGCCATGAAAATAAATTAGAAGGGGTTAATCTATATAATTTATGATGTCTGTTACAGAGTATGGGCATATAAACTCCATTGCCCCTCCCACTCAAAAAATGTCTGAGCTTTATACAGTTTTGCTGATATTTTATCTTAATATCTTATTTGTACCTTTTATTTATCATTTATGACAACCTTATAACATATTTTACTGCTTTTGCATATTTTCTTTGAAAAAAAGTCTTTGTAAAAATGTCACACTGTTCAAGCAAGCACAAGTATTACTCATTTTATATTAGCTTTGTGTTTGAAAAAAAAATTGAAAGAGAAAAATAAAAAATTGCAAAAGAATTTGTACATAAAGTAATTTTGGAAATGTCTAGAGGCCAAAAAAAAAGAAACACATTAGATAAGAAGGCAAAAATGTACAAATATGCAGAGTGGGAGAAAAGAGCAACAACTGTCATGCTACCAGTTGCACAACACAAATACACTTTGAACTTATTCTTTATAAGTAAGAGCAATTCCTAGAGCAATATAAGTGTATTTAAGAGGGAGTTTTAATTCACAATAACTTTGTTACTGTGTTTTTAGCCATTACTTATTTGATACTTAATGACTTTGTTTGACATTTTATTTACATCAAAAATATATTCTTTCATCAAAAACCCTTTTCGGTGATTTTTTTTTTTTTTTTGTCATTAGCTTCAGAAGGCTTTGAAGATAATAAAAATTGTCTTTTTTTTGACTACATTATATCTATACCAATATATAAATTTCTTGTGCTTGTCAGTTTAATAAAAAAATTTCTTGTCATGTGTGCATGTTTTTACATAAAAACATTGATAAATCAATGAAAATCTCCTCCAAAAGGTAATTTTTTAACAATGTGTTAAAGATGAATTAAAACAAACTCTTTGAATATGGCTTTGGAGATCAGTGGCATGCATTTCAAACAGACAATAAAATCAATATTGTGTTGAATGTCACCAAGATCTAATCTATAATCAATATACCAGTTAAAAAAAAGAAGAAAACAGTTTAACATTGTTCCTCTTAACCTGTTCTTAGCCTCTCCAATGCACAGAGATTCAAAGCTTCTCAAGAGCCATGCACATTCTCAAGTGTGGTCACACACAGCTGACACATAAATAGTTTTTCAGAATCAGTGTAAAATGTGTTATCCTGCATGTGTAGTAGGAGATTTTCAAAGGAACAGATCTTTCATTAATAATTGAACATGATACTGATGCTAAGACCCCCTATGTCTTCACATGAAAAGGTTGGTCAAGTCAAGAAACCAGCCTAGTCAGTGGTCACCCATGGAGAATTGGAAAGAACCATGGATAAGATCAGCAACTCAAGAAAATTGCAATGTGAACACCAAATACCGTATTTTCACACAAATAACCCATGGGTTATATGTGAAATTAGTTTTCAAAAATGCAAACTGCAGAGTATACTCATATACAGGTAATATGTTTTTGTTTTTTAAGACTGAAATCACCAATTTTCTATTCCAAATATTCAATTATGTTGTTTATCATAAAATGCAACAGCCAACATGGTGAATTTAGTTGAATGGACAGCAGCTGCCTGTTGTAGAAACAAAGGTCTAGAGAATGGCATTTGTTTCTCTTCACACTGTATGAAATAAAATGATAATGCCACTTGAATTTGAAGACTAGCCTCTGGGCTAATGATGAATAAAGCATCAGGCTTAAGGTAAGTGAAGGTCACTGTGTGTATGGTGTTATCAGTCTTTATAGAATTGTGGTGGATTCTGGAGAGTATGTCATGACTGGATAGTTTATTTCTGTTTCTGATTGGTGGAAAGACTTTTTTGTAGATTCAACCAATGGTACCCCCACACGTTACTCAACTCTAATCCGGAATCCATGTTTAGTGAAGGTTTTTACTATGTTACTGTAATGTAAAACGATTCTTTAAGTTTTCTAGTCTTCCAAAATTTGTCTGTGTCACTGGCTTGCTGGGTATACACGAGTGCAGGTAATACGTGCCTAAATGTTTCTTAGAGCACTTTTTTTCTCAGGTGCAGGGTATATCAGGGGACAGGTTATTTAAGTGAAAATACAGTATGGTTGAGAAAAGATAAAAATGAAGATTTAAGGTGTTCCCATCCCACTTAGAGCTACAAGACATCCTACAGAGAATAAAATTGTCTTCAGTGGGAAAAGTACTTATTAACCCTCTCTGCCTGGGCAGCATATACTGTGCATATCCCGAGGCTTTAGTGACTTACATTCAAAATTTAAACTACGTTTTGTTTATATTATACCCATCAATATAGCACAAAATTGTAGCTAATAATCCATATTTTAAAAGTATATAACTTTTAAGTTCTTAATTTAATAAAGAAATATTTTTAAATAATCCTGTATTTCCCTTAGTGTGAGAAATGTGACTTATTTTCTCTAGGCATCCCCTTTTCTCTATTTTATTCATCACCCCTCTAATAAGTAAGAAATTTAATGTAAACTACTCAATATAAAATCATCATTGCTCAGACAAACCATAATTTTTATAGTCTTCACTCTTGTTTGGTTACAGAGCCATCAAATAGAAAATCAGACCCCTCTTGCCACACCCACCTGTCACATCCTCTCTTTCAGCATTTGTTAATAGTTCTCTCTTACTCTTAATACTAAATTATGTATAACCAATAAATAGCCAAGGTTTTCATCTATCAAATTACATATTATATTATGTTGTTTTCTGAACAGAGAATTGTCATTTTCCCTGTTAGTACAAGCTTCATTCCCACGGGAAAAATAATGATTAGCTTGGATGAATTTGTAACAACTCTTGTCACTTAGATAGAAAGCCAGAAAAATTGTAGTAGTTAGGGGAAATTGTCTGCTTTTTGCTTGTTATTATTCTTTTTTTCTTTGATGTATTATTTAATTAAATAAAAATTATTTAGTGCATTACTACCATTAGTATAAAAAATGTAGGATTAAGTAACATCGACATTCGACAACAACAACAAAAAAAGACCCGGATAAGTACTTTATTTCCTCTTTTCATGTTTATTCTTTATTTATTATTATGAAAGTAACTAAAATTTAAAAATAGAGATTTCTTTAGGTTATATAAAGTTAGATTAGGTAAAATAATTAATAATAATAATATAATAAAAACGTCTCACAAGGCACGCATGTGAGCAGTTTTGAGTAGTGCGTGGGTAATGTAATTCAATTGTGTAACATGAGCTTCATGTGAAAGATTTATAATGTTTACTGAAAGTCTGCCAAATTTTGTGAAGATATACATACTATATTAAAAGTTAGTGGTATCAAAACCAGTACAAAGAGGTCATCTGGTCAGTCAAATCACGTGTCAAGAGAGTTGAGGAATCCTTTGTTTACTTCCAGAGGCCATCATTCTTTCATGAAGCACCAATGTTGTATTGGAAAATAATTTTGTATAGGACAATCTCAGAAATATATGTAACATGCAAGGGTCCCAACTGAATGAATTGATAAAAACACAGGATCTTATATCATACAGAAGAGACCATTATTTTTGTTAGGACTGTGTCTAGGAACTTGGGGTTATTGAACACAAGAGGTTTGAGAGATGTCTTTGAACAATGGGAACAAAAATTGTTTTTATGGCATCTGAAGATGGCAGATAAAGCAACTCTTATGCCAGCTATGGAAGAAGCTGGCAAACCATGATCATGAAATAAGTATATAAAAAAAAGAAGCAATTTGATGAGGATTTGGAGATAAAAAAATACATTACATGCAATGTACTGACTTTGAAAAATAGCACAAAATGATTGACAAATAGCCAAAGAACAGTGTCGGCAAGGACACGCTAAAATTTGAACAGCCTGGGAAGACAGTGATGAAAATAGGTCAGACTGAAAAAAATCTGCATGTTAACAGCAAGCACAGCCAAGTCAACATTTGGTACCATTATCTGGAGGTAGGAGAAAAGTAGAGTAAAAACATGTTATTTTTAAAGAAAATCTAGTGCATTTTAACTTATTATATATTTATGCACAATTAATATTAACATTACTGCTTCTAAGTTGTGTATCTCAAATATTTATACACTAATAATAGTATCAAACCATTAGCTTTACACAAAAAGACATTTCATTCTTTCAAGGACATTATTGTTTTGAGAAAAAGTCATCAAGTTTGTATGCCTTGTTTTGCACCTTACTGCTGCCATTTTCAAGTTCAAGCATCATTACTCTGTTGAACCATGACTAGCAAACTTCTCACAATTTCAAAATGACTGCAACAACAACACATGCATGTGCTAGTTCTAATATGGCACCCAATATAGTGTACAGAGTTAAGCCTGGTTTAGAATTTTATTTTGCCATTGATCAAACGGACTTTCAGACTCTAGTGTTTACTTCTAGGATTTGTAACAAAGCCTTTCCTTGGCATGTGTAAAATAATTTTTTTCTTATCAGATTTGCACTGATCTTCTAAATGGGCAGTAGTATGTCTAAAGAAGAAAAACCCCAGTCAGTAGGAAACTATAGTCTCCCTGGAAGAGAAAGTGGCTTCTCTGACAAAGGACCAAACAACAGCTAGCTGTGAGACCACGGATTGCAAATGTCATTATGAAAAACTGATATTTAAGTTTACTGTAGAAGATGTTCCCATGATGGTAATGGCATTGGTTTCCCATGAGAAAGTTGATGTAATATAAGAACCACAGTTGAGCTAGCCAAAATGGAGTGATGAGGAGAACCTAGCACATCAAATAACTGATTGTGGCAAGTACCTGAAGAAAAAGGCAGAAAGGATTTGGCATAAATGAAAAGGTTCTCCCAAGTTTGACTCAAGGCATCATTGCCAGAGAATCTGGATCTAGAGCTGGAGAACACTAACATGGAAAAAAATGGTTGTTCAAAGTTACAAAGGCATCAATCATCAGACAATCTAACTGTTCTCATAGTCACTGAAACCATTGGAAGTGACATATGTAAAGTGTGCCGCAATGGAATGACTTTGTAAATTGAAATGATCATCCCAAAAGCAGAAAGGATATACTTGGCAAGAGGTGTGGGGGAAAAAAAGAAAGAGTATTTACACGAGTCACAAAGACTCGCAACATCCTGGGAGATGGCTGAAATGTTCCTTGAACTATGCTGATCCAAAACTTCAGAAGTACCAAATGCTGTTTTAATACCAAATGGAATTGCAGTTGTGATGAACCAACTCAACACCTATAGACAGCTGTGTGATCAACTGAGTGTGTATAAGAGACTAAGTGGATGAAAATGTCAGAAAAAACAAACTGTCTACATAACATTGAAAGTGATGTCAAGTGAATAAAGAAAAGCAGCATACACTTTGACTACTCACAAGAAAACAAATGGAGCCAAATGGAAGAGCAGTGAACTAATAAACTACTCCCACTGATAGAAAATGACAGAATGATGGATAAACGAGGATATGAAGATTAGAACAATGTATGCTTTGTCATCCAATGGTCACAATAAAGAATATTTTGTAACAACATCATGTTTTCCATTTTGAAATTAGGTGTCTCTAGATAAAGATTCAGTTGGGAAAGGTCTATCAAAGGTCTCCACTCTCCTAATTTCTTTGGAATCACAGGGAGACAGGAGTAAAAAAAGTCTGACTACCTCTTTCTGAAGAAGATATGACTTCCTGATCTAGATTTTATGAACAACATGGATCAGAAAAAAATTAGAAAAGACACTGGGTAAGCAGAAAAAATGAGGATAACAATGTAAATGAAAGTAAAAACATAACAGGCCTAAAGTATCTGTCGAACCCAAACATCCTGAAACCAGAAATCTCACAAAAGAATAAATAATCCAGGATGACCCCTCCCCAAAAAAACAAAAACATCACTTGGAGATTCATCTGGGATTTATGACAATCATTGAGAGGGTCAAAGAGACTAACCTCACTTCTACTTCTACATTTGGCCACTCAGTACGGTTGTAAGGAATGAACAGAAGTAGCAGACATCAACTGAGAAGTGGACGAGAGAGGCAAGACAGGAAGATGAAAACTACTCATCGGTCATTTCTAACAATGACCATAAGTACATAGAGATGCTAAAACTCTAATCATCATCTCCTGGTGGCACACCACTCCTAACATGAAATTAGTTTGAGAGAAATTCCTGCAAAGATAAAACAATGTAGAAAAGAAGCTGAAGTGTTGATGGGGATATGAGTACATTACAACTTAGCACAATGGCCTAAGGTGTCAAAGGGCCAAAAGAGCTATGTGGTAATAAAAGTTACATCAGTGAGATGTGCAAAAAAAGCTAGCAAAGTAGAAATTTAATCCTGACTAAAAGAATAAGGAAATCAAGAGTAGCTAATAGCTAGTAACTGCACTGAAGACAAAGAGTCTCAAAATGCAACAGATTCAGGCATGTGTAGCAGAAAAATGGTGATAAGTCAAAGTATTAGAACCAATTTGAGGGTCAAGAACCTATGAATTATTGCAATAAAATAAAAATGCATTATGTTCTTACACTGATTTTATTTCATCAATCTCTCAATGTTGTGCAAATTTCAATTCTAGTGAAAACTTGAAAAGTAAAATGAGTAGTGAAAGATGATCCCATTAAAAGGCTAGCCAAATGATCAACTTGAAATATGAACTTCATTAACATTTTGCCAATTTCTAAAAGCATCAGCAATGACCAAATATAAGGAGATGGTGGAATATATAAAGATTCAAGAACTGAATCATCCAATATGATACTAGCACCCTCAAACATAACAGAAATTGGTTCAAGATTTCAAACAGTGCATACTTGAGGAAAAGAGAAAGCAGAGTAGCAGAAACATCTTCAGTATTAGGGGTAGCCAACAAATTTTGCTTTGCATTATGTCAAGGTCATTCAGAACCTAAAGTCACACGGTTGTTGAAATCATGAGAAGAACTCAAGAAGGAAAGGCTTTATTATTTAAGAAGTTTAACTGATTTGAAAGTTACTTTTAAAGATATATCATCAGTAACTTCTGAACAAATAGATAAGACAAAAAAATCTACATAATGTTTCTCTAGCTTTACATATTAAACTAATTTACAAATTTCTGGCTATGATCTACACCAAATAAAGTAATTAGTATAAATAAATAAATTAGTTTAAATATAAAATAATTAAGCTGTATGAAATAAGACTGAAAGAACAAAAAACGTTTATACAACAAAACATTCACTACATTGAAACTAATAAAACTCTTTCAGTTCAAAGTGGGTCAATTTGACCCACCTTGGAAATATGAAACTGTACCTACTATAATTCTCAATTTATGGAGTGTATTGTCATGAAATTTGGCAAACTTTTAGTAAAAATTACAAGTCTGTTGTATACAAAAAATTAGATTTTTTAATGAAGTATTTCTACTAATGATTTGTCTCTGTATTGTTTTAAAAACATTTAGAACCTTAAGTCACATGGTTGTTGACAACGTGAGAGCAACTCATGGAAAAGCTTTTAGTATTTCAGAATTTTACATGATTTTAGAAGTAATTTAAAAGATATATTATCAGTAGCTTCTGAACAAACAGACAAATAGATAAGACCTAAAAAAACCTATTTAATTTCTCTCTAGTCCTATATATCAAATGTAAATTAGCTACACGTTTCTGGCTAAAATCTACCCTAAATAAAGTAATTAGTATAAGTTTAAGATAATTAAGCTGTATTGTATATTAAGTCAGATTGAAAGACAAAAAAAAAGTTTATACAGCAAAACATTCAGTATATTGAAACTTAATTAAAACACATGTAAGATTTTTTTAAACAGAATACAATGTTTCTAAAATTTAGATGGAAATAGTGTAATAAATTGAAATGCAATAATCCAAATTTAAAAATAAAGACAAAAATTTAGCTGAATCTACATGTACATTACTCTTTCTCAATGAAATGTATTAGCAAATAAAAGCTTTATACAGAGAGAATCAAAAATGAATTACCTAGAAATAAAACTGTGACCACATTTCCAGATTATTTTCCAACAGTTCAACATACAACTTCAACTGAAACATACTTCCTAATCAGTTAATAAATTTCAAATACTACATTTTCTTGGTTTCTCTATCTTCTGATGGAGAGTAAGAATTAATTTATACCTTTAGGAGGAAAGTAAGACTTGCTCTCTGCCTTGTGAGGCCAATCAACTACTAAAGGTCCAAATCGTTGAAAGGTTGCAGTAATTTCCTCTGAAAAAAAAATATTGCTTTTCAAATTAATAATGAATGTTAACAGTTGTTGAAGCAAAATAGTTTAAGAATGGTACTTATTACCTTTATAATTAAGGATATATATATGCATTTATATTTAATTCAATTACAATGAATCACAAATAAAAAATCTTTAGGGTAACACATAATGTACTAATTACAACTATATTTTACTCAAGAAAAGAATTGATCATTTGAATGAAAAAACAGATTCATTGGTACCTTTTGGAAAAGTTTTCCTGAAAGTTTGAGCAAAGAACATTGTGTACTCCTTGTACTATTTACATTACAAAGACTAAAATGCAGCTCATCATATAATGATATGCAAATCCAATCTACAACATATACCAGTCATGTTACCCTTACTCACTTTGCCTAGCACACTTTCCATTTATAGTTAACATACTGTTGTTAGATTACAAACAGAAGATCCTATCCTCATATCTATGGAGGAATAACATGTGGTGTCATAGTCACTTGTAGAGGACTTTTATAAGTTAACATTGCTAAGAAAGATTACTGTACAAGTGACTGAAAGAAAATATTATTTTCTGTGTTAAATGTTTAAAAAAAGAGGCACTTGTCAAGCTTTAAAGAGTATGTTTATATAAGTATTTAAATTGTCATTATTCTTCATTCATTAATATTCAACAAATAAGATGACAAATTCATTAATTTCTGTTCCTCTCCAAAAAAGTTCAGCCTACTGTAACTACTACAGTAAAAGTTCCAGGCAAGAAATTAGGAAGTAGAATCAGGTGCACCTACAGATTATAATTATTATATTTTTGAGGTCCGCATTGCAGGATAAGTGATAGCCAGTCAGCCATTGAAATATACTTAATATGCACCAATCCCAACTAGCCAGTAGACAAAAATACCAACTTACCATATTACAAAAGCACATTTCAGAATACAGCTTACTTTTACATAAAAAAAATACTTTAGGAAAATTGTATAGTGAGAGAATTCTACTCAAATGAAACAGCAAGCTTCAACAATATTAGTGTTGTTACAATGACTTGGGGGGAGCAGTTAGGAAAAGATCCTAAAATATGAAAAAATATTTGAATTACCCATCTAAACATTGATTTCACACACACACAAAGTTTTATAAGAAGAAACCAAAAGCAAGGGTGCTACGAGTTGAAAATTACTGCTTAATCTACTATAAACTTAACAATAAACATCTTTTCAAGTGTATTCTACTAATATGTATTCTTGTGGTATAACTAAAAATAAACCACCTTAAGAAGACCATAAAATATTATTTATAATATAAATTTATTAACAAATATAACAAAAATATGTTTACAAAAGGTTACCAAATCATACAATTAGCAGATGTTATCAAATAATTCTCAAACACCACTGATCCATTACATAAATTATTGTATAAGCTGAAGTATATAAATCTCTCTCTAAATAAAAACTGTTTTGCCTGTTCTAAATTTCTATAGGAAAAAAAAAACTCAACAGAACATAATACTTTCAAAATGTATTGAATATTTCATAAAACAGTAAATAATTTGAAACTCTTCTTCTCAAACCTTTCTGTAAAAAAATGGTCACAGAAATTCCTGGGAAACATTTTATCAGAAGAAAGATGTCTTCAATGAACATATCTATTTTTATCAGTTTGTTTTTATGGAACAATTAGGTCACTTATTGGCTCGTTCATGTACAAAACTTTTGCTTCTAGACACATTAAATAAATCATATGCTATTTGAACTACTGTTTGGAATGACATTCATATACAAATTAATATGATAGCTGGCAAAGACTAATGGAAGCAGAAGCAAGGAATATAATTAAATGGAGCTTTTAGTACTTTATCATAATTAAGAACCAATACCAAATGTAATTAATTTCCACCACATACATTACTAGTATGCAAATCTTCATATTTTTAACAAGATCTTATGTACCATTAAAGAGATAAAGCAGTTCCTTCTTCATGCAACTTCTAATTTACACATCCTATAGTGAGATAATGGTTCTTGTAGACTGTTGATTTGCATTATCTCAGTATGTGAGATGTTAGAAGTTTAAAAGTAAAAGTAGGAACATCATAACAAATTTATCACCGTAATTAAATCTTAGGCCAATTCAGAAGTTTCACTTTTCAATAACAATATACATCAACAATGTATGGTATGTAATATATGTGGAAATGGACCATACTGAAATGTACATAAAATAATATTATAAAAAAGAAAAACAAAGATTAGTACTGTATTACAATACTGGACAAAAGTTTCAATATAGTACTATGAAGCTATAGTTGCTCTTGAACTTGTACAAATTGATGGGAGTTGATTAATAGCAAGAAGAAACATATGGGCTATCTGTGCTGTGCCCACCATCAGTATCGAAACCCAATTTTTAGCATTGTATGTCTGCAAGACATACAGCTGAGCCACAGGGGCTATAGTTGATATATGTGTGCCTTCAAAACAATACTTGGGATGTGAATGATTACCTCTACTTTATTCTAAGTTCCCTATCATTTATAAACTGTATGGAATCATTCTGATAAGACTGATGTCTAATGACATTCTAATGAATGTTTATATACATTTCTGGTAGTTACATTATAGTATTTTCTCTCTCAAATCAATCTTGGTGTTAAAAACCAATATATATGACAAAAGGTTTGTTGCTCTTTTCCACTACATCTGATTGTAAAAGTAAAAATGTTAAAAAAAGCAACAGGGTATACAGGGCTCACACTTAACTTATTCTTTAGGGAGCCAGCCGGGCCCCCAAAACATACATTGTTAAAGGCCCGCAAGTAGTTTTGGGGGTTAATCCTACAGCTTATTGTAAAATGTACTCTATTGTGAAGTTATCAGAAAAATCTCTGAATTAACTAGTGGATGTTATGTAAATTGAAAGGAAACTAACAATATCAACATACCTCAATTTATTGTATTGTGAACTAGTATTTCATGAAAAAACAAGCCAACAACATTTAATTTCTTTTTTCAGACCTTTAAATGATTTTTATTTCATATATGATCTTTAATTTCTCTCTAAAGTATGGTATAACAGTAACCTTTTTGTTCCATATTAAGTTCTCGAGATGATACGCCATGTGGCTCCCTGTTAGTATCGCACTGTGTATTAGCTCATTGTTTAGGCAGGTCGCCAAAAGAGCACATGACAACACAGTAATCAGAAATTTGGAATGTCCCATTACTTTACAATTGAGTGATTGTGTAATTATCTGAATTGTGCATGTCACTGTTGGAGATGTCACTATAAGTTGAAAGTGGTAAACAGGTATATACAAATATTTACAAAATAACTAACCTATTGGACAGCTGTGGAACATTACATTTCATCATTTGATAGTCCTGTTATTTATGAATCTAATCAAAACCACTAAGTGTGAAAGAAAAGGTGCAGCTAAAAAAGGATTGAACATGTGACTTAAAGTAATGAAAACAAAATTGGTGACCAAACTGGTAGCTACACTTTATAGCATTGATAAGAATTTACAGCAAATATTCATTCATTAGCTAACCAGGCTGCATTTTTTGTTCAACTTGGGGCATGATGGTGGGATTAGATATCATAACAACGAACCACAGCAAGCAAGAGAGTGACATTCGATAGTAACCAGCATTAGCTTTAGAATTGCAACCCTATTATTCAGAACACACCTACACTTTGACATACCAACCAGATTCTTTAAAATACATTGTAGTAGTTTTCCTCTCTAAAACTGTGTTAATAACTTCCTTTATAGTAACACCATGGAATCTAGGTTAATAGTTTCTTGTCATTACCCACATTTACTCGGTACAGTTGTATCAAGCTTCATTTACACTAATTACTTAAGCTAATATCATGTGATGATAAACTCTCTTTTATTAGGAGAATTTCATAAACTTAGCAAATTTGTGCGTAAAATTTGGCAATGAATGATAACTGTCCACCCATATGATTCTTTCAAAAACTTGAGCTAGAAACTGCTAATTTAATTTGCTTGGCCTAACCAATACTTATGTATCTGCATTTGCTTTCATCCTATAGGTTAGCTGCTCTAAATCAGTTATCTTCAATCCAAAAGGCAAAAAACTGTGCTATTAGATGAAGCTGTAGTAAAAATTTTAGACTGATAGCTCAAGTAACTTTTTGCATTGGCATGCAAAAAATTTTGATCAAAATTGAGCAGTTTTTGTTAAATAACTTTGTATGTGTAGCTTATATTTAGACCAAATTTGATACCTAATTGTAAATTGAAAAAAATCCATAAAAGTATGTTTTTCGGTGTGGGAAAAAAAAGGAAGAAATTCAATCAATATTGGAGATTTTATATCTCGTGTATTCCTTAATGGATTGCCTTGAAATTTGGTATATTAAGTAAGAGTCCTGTAGAGCACATCTACTGAAAATATAAGATAGTTTGGATCACCACAGTCCGAGCTACAGAAAGTGGAAAATCACGATACTATCACTCCCATCAATAACACACAGTGTGTCCTGTAGTTTTTTTTTGGCCACATGACACAATACTGTGTGTTTCTTCATATGCGTAGTTACAAGAAGTTATCTTAAAGTTAGTTGTGGCTTGACAAACATGATTGCTGATTGGTTGGATTGCTTTTGAATGAGAAAACTAGATATTTTGGGTTTTTCAAGTAGGAATTAAATGTTTAAAAACAAGTATCATGAAGGTGGCAATTGTTGTAACAGACTGCCCATTGCACCTGTAACTAACAGGGGAGTGTATACATCTTTATCAACAGTGAAAGCTAACATTTTGTGATTTTAGTCAAATGTCAAAAATAACACATTGTAAGTGCTGAGATTTGAAAAACATTCACTGACAGCATGCGTCTCATGCCAGGAGGTGATAAATTTTAAATAATTCAACCAGCATGATGTAGGTCTTCTTTATTATAATGCATTTAAAGTTGTCATTTCTTTTCCTTTTTTTAAGGTTGGAAAGTTGATCATTACAATTAGGAGCATATTTAAAAAAAGCCAAATAAAAAAAAATCTTTCGGCATCCAAATTGAAGATTCCTCTTCTTATAAATGAAAACTTTCAAATGCTGTCACTTTATTTGACCTTTGGTTGGAATACTTCCTTTGGTTTAGTTCAAAATGTAGAGGGATAGCAAACATCTTCAAAATTATGGCTGAAGTGAATGATGAGTTTAGGCAAGGAATCTCCACAATTTGTTTGTCTCTCACAATGGTTACATAATGTTATGTATTGATCATGTACTAGCCACAAGTTCAATCTCCAAATACAAAATGGAAAAGAGATCAGGGTTTTCTTTTTTGAATGGCACATTTATTGATAACTTCAATCATTTCAAATTTAATGAAGCTTCAAAGTACATTCTCTGTAGTCTTACAATTTTTAACGTTCAATTGCCAACAATACTACACAATGACATCATCAACTTTACTGTACATAATTGGAATCTGGCTGATTATGTACTGTAGTTATCAGCAATTGGGAATTTCCAATTGTGACATTATCGGTAAAACAGTAATAATATGTTATGTTGTTGTTTTATTTTTAGCTAGCGCAGTCTGCAAAGTTGGATTCAAAAGTGTTTGCATGTACAAACAATGTACATGCAGTAAGGTAAATTTTCCAAACAACTTGCAAGTTTGCAATTTTTACTTGTTTGTTTTTGGAAAGTGTTGACAAAAAATAACTTTTATGTGCATCTTTCAAATGTATTAACCTTGATGCAGGCCTGGTGTCATATATATAAAAAGTTAAAAAAGTAGCATTCTGATTCCAAACAGTAGTCATCTTTATAAAAGTTCAAATAATCACTATATTTCAAATTTTATAAATGAAATTTTGTATATCAATTCCATTACACTGATACAAAAAGTTTGAATATTGGTCAAAGTGATGGCTTTCTTATTAATGAAAGTGCACTTACTTTGAATACACAATCATTCATAGTAAAGACATTTGTAGATTTTACATGACTGACGAGTGTTCGTAAATTTGGGAAGGTCCATCCATGGTTTGTAATAAGTTCTGCTCAATTAAGAAATGCTTTGATCAATTTATGTGGAATCAATTTTTTAATGGCTCTTTTAATTTTAAGGGGCCACAAGCGGTACCTAGCAGATACTTTTTACGGACCCGCTGAGATTTTGGGGGGCCATTGCCTCCACTAATTTCGAGCCCTGGTATACCACATCTCCTAAACTAACATCTTCAATTTCCAGTTTTGAGTACATAAATTAAACCAATACAAGATGAAGCAATAAAACTGAAGTTTACCTTCATCTATATCTGGAGGGAGGCCTCCAACAAACACTTTACGAGAATATCTCCCTAAAGTATCATCTATCCTGTGGAACTTTTGATGGAACATTGATGTAGGACCCAATGGGGCCAGATGTTCTAACTGCTTTTCAACTAACATGTGGTTTTCGTCTGGGAAATATACTGGTTTACCTAAAATAAAAACAATTGCAAAATCTGTTCAATATATAGCTCGTGAACATTTGTGGACACAGAAATATGCCTATATATAAAAAATCAAAACGTGATAACTTTCTACATTTAGAAGAGCCTGAAAATTATCTCAAAATTATCCTTTTGAAGACTATTTTGGAATATTATAAGTTTTTTTTATATACAACATAAACACCCAATATAATTACATGTAGAAACAACAATGCCTACAAGAACCACATGAATGTTAGCATGCACAACAGCTACAAAACAAATACTTTTAGCTTTAAAACATTATAACAAACTAAAAATTACTATCTTTTAAGTTTGGAATTATTGGTACATATAAATGAACAAAATAACATGCGTTAAGTCAACAAAACACAACAAATATATATATTCTTAAACTACTAATATATGTACATATAATAAAAACATACAAGATGGTATGAAGCAAATAATGTACATAACAGTACAAAAACATACAATTCTTTATTTTTATTTTGCAACTATAATTGGCATTTACCCTGTCAATAAATATCTGTTAAATCACCCAAAAACCTCCTTTCTCTTACATATTTTCAAGAGCTTTCCTACAGAGTTTGATGAATATTCACAGAGGTATATACAAAGATTATAAAATGGTAACATATTAGCTAAAAAATATGCAGGTTCAGAATAAGTAGTGTAGAAAACTAGTGTAGGCATTTGTCAATGATCTAAATGAAATTCATTAAAAATATTTGCACTTCAATCAAAAACAAAAAAAGTGAGGCTAGAATCCATCTTGAAAAATAACTTGTAAAATATCTGAAAAACAATAATGCACAGCTGCTTAGCAAAAAAAAAAAAGCTCTCAAAATAATTTATTACATAAAATGGCCATGTCTATAAAATAAGGGAAAAATTAAACTTTATATCATCTTAGGCACACCTTCCAATTTTATATGAAAAATTCACACACATAAAATATCAAACAAATAGTAAAGTCAAACTTCTGTTAAGTTTAGATAATTATAATGATTTTTTATACAAAACTGAGAATCATTCAATTTTCCCAAAAGTACACATACCCTCATTTTCATCTTAATGTTTGAATGAAACATCTAAAAATGACTTTCTGTGAAACTAATACAAGATGTTCTCTAACAATCAAACATCAGGCTAATTTTATATGAAATAAATGGATTATTAATACATGATATTAAGTCAGCAATACCAAAAAAAAATTTCTAAAGATTAAAATTATATGACATTTAATAAACATGTGTGCATGTATACTGTAGAATTATTCTTTAACAAACTAGTCATAAAACCCTTACCTTGCTTCCGTCCATAATTTTGAGCAGCTTGAAACAAGATAATTTAATCTATTGAGTAACTAACCATTACTTATGATTCAATAATCTTCACAGAGTATGTACAAACCTACTAATTGAGAACTAAATCAGAAGAAATTGTGATAAAATATTTAAACACAATTTCCCTTTACATATACATTTTACTTAATCTGAGATGTACTGAATACATTCCAAAAAGTGCACTACATACACCTATACTACCTAATACTGTACTGTACAAATAAAATTATGACAGTCCTAGGCTCCAAGTAAGTCATACAAACACACCAGAAGCATCTATCACAACAACAGGTACTTCTATAAGATGTACAGCATACAACCCTACACATGCAGTTAATTCTCTCAGCCTAAATATACATTTATGTTCACAATACAATGTACAAGAAATGAAATCCAAAAAGCTTGGAAACCTAAATTTACTTTGTCAGTTTGTTAGATTTGAGTAGTAATAATTTGATAAAACCCTATGCCTAGTGCATGGGTATGTCTTAACCAGTAACTGCTTTTTTATAATTTTTCTGTAAAGTTACTTATTTAAATATAAGAAAAAGGTATTAAAAGCATCAACTTTAAATGTATATGTACAAAAATGCAAATTATCATCAAAACCATAACTAAACTGTTGAATGACTGATGAAACTTCCTGTGTCACACCAGCCTAATTTTTACTTCTGTTTTGCTTTTATATTTTACCATATCACTCTTGATGTATTAAAAACTTTAGCAATGATGAACAGTTTATGAAATTGTAGTGAGTCAACAGAAATTATGCCCTAGTAACTGTGACCATACATAAATCACAACTTGAAAACTTTCCAAGCCTTAAAACAAATTCATTCTTAACACATACATATAGCATATACTCATTCAATATACATCTTGATGGGAGAAATTCACTTCAATTTTTTTATTATATTTTGTGTTTAATTGAAGGAAAGAAAAAAAATAATAATTATCAATAAGTTGTTTTAAGCATCTTGGTGTTGCTGTATGACATACATGAACAAGTAAAACCAAAATAAATTATGCTTTTTGTCATTGTGTCTTATGGGCATGAAGAACTTTTTAGTTTTTAAGGGTCTAATAAACATTCAGTACAATAAAACCTCTTATTATTATTATTGTTGTCTTTTCACCGCAGTAAATACCTAATTAAAGCTAGAAGTATATATAAATTAATATATGAATGTACATTATATTCCACTACAACACTATAAATGAAAAATCTAAAAAAACGTTTTTGGAATAGCAGTTTACAGCAATGTTTGTTTTTTTTTCTCAAGAAACTCAGCCAGTGGTACCACTTTGTAGCTTCCTGAGGTGGCTAACTGCCAGTAGACATTATTTTAAGTCCTACATTTACACATGTACAAGCACTTGACGACAACTCACAATACTTGTTGACTTAATTTCTTCTGGAAAACAGTTCAGCTTCTACACTTTGAAAAATTTATATTTGAAACAGGCTTAAATTTGACTTTAACATATCAATTATACATATTGTACTCTTTCCTTCTTACTGCATGGAAAAAATACATGACTTCAGAAAGGATTGTTCTAATTACTTTCTTGATATTTTGTGTGAAAATTGTTTGTGCATAAAAATAAAATATAAGCTATGAAATTCATTACAAATAATTCTGAGTGTGTGACTATTAAATGTTCATTCATGTTCACCAAAACCAGACTATGATGAAAATAAGAGCAAACTAGATATTTGCAAAATAAGTACTTTTCAAATGAACATTTGTAATTAAGTGAGCTTCTAACTTTCAATCAAAACAACTAAAATTATTAATGTGTGATGTAGAAGTATAAAAATGTTTCAAAATTATTAATTTCCAAATCCTATAATTATATGTGTGTATGCTTCCCTTTTATAAAACTGTGAAATACACAAACACAAGCTGAAATGTATATGCACAACTTTTTTATCATCATTAAGTAAAGGAACATCTACATGAAATTACTCTGAAAAGATGAATAAAAAAAAGTTAAAAGATCTCCATTAACTTTTAAAATTTTTGTCATGTACAATTTTAGAATACTCCTTAAACAGTATACAGAAAGGCAATATCATTTAACTTACATACCATTTTTTCACTAAAAAACAACATAACACTTAGCTAAAGCTTTGCAGTTAGTAACTGAAACTACACCAACCTTGTGTGTAACCCATGGACTGCAATTTACTTGAGTTCGGGCTATAATAACCTAATAAAGGAAATAATGCTATGAAACATTCTCTGAAAGAACAGCCATATGATACACATTTATGGGGAACAAAATATTTTTGTACACTAATAAAGAAAACAATGATGGTAGATAATCACATGTATTATCAAAGTGAAAACTAAGTTTTCAGGAAAGGATGTTTAATTTAAGTGAGGAACAGTACATGTACATGTATATATATATATATATATATATTAAAATATGAAATAGCTGTTATTATGCCTTACAACCTCTACAGATGAAATGAAACTGTACTATTATATCACAAATACAAAACAGTGTGTTGCTATCTGCAATCATAACAAAAATAAAAGAACATAATGAAACATATAAGTACAAAGTTGAGAGTTCATACTTAATGCTCTCTTTAAGCTGTAGCTACAAACTGTGCTTATAAATCAAGTAGAAAAAGCAAATTGAAAAGAAAAAAATTATTCAACACACACAAAAAAAAAAACATTTATTACATGCCAGGAAAAGATGTTCCAAAAACTACAAAAACATTGAACTTACTTATATGAAAAAAAAATGTTTTCTTATTATTGGTACTTTTCAATAAACAATTGTTTCACCAAAGTGTTTTAATATGTCAGTATATCACAGATTTAACCAAAAACCATTTAATAAGTAATTTTTAAACTTCAGTAAACTGCCAAGATTCCTTATTCCAAAGTAATTTTCTCCATTATATTATTTTTAATGAGAGATAAATTATAAAATAGAGAATGTACCTGTATATTTCTATGTCTTGCAATTTTAACATATGTTGAAGGAACAAAAGACCTACACAAGTTTATTACTTTATAGTAAAATTTTATTTAAAGAAAATATGCAATTGTCTAGTCTCATATTTTATTATTTTTCAAAACTGAAAAAAAAATCTTCAAAGCTATAAAAATGCTTATAACATAATGAAGTTTTATATATATATGAAATGTATTCTTGCATGTGGAACTACAATTCATTTGTTATTCTACATTGTTTTTGGCATTACACTATATTGCACATGAGAAAAATTAAATTTATACCTAGATGTATAACCCTATGTTATTTACAAGTATTCCTCATTGACAATTTTTATACTCTTTTTACTTTTAGTATTTTTTTCACAGTTGTACTGAAGTTTTTCGTTTCTCATATACACCCTTAATAAAGTTATACATGAAAGCACCAAAAATATACAAACAATTAAGCATTATTTTTTTAAAAACAAATTTACATATTAATATGTTAATATCAATAAATAGTAACTAAAAAGCCTCAAAACACTGTTTAGGCCATAAAAATTAAGACAATTTTGAATCCATCTTGGATATTCTACCTATTTTTTAAGGAGTTAACCTAATAGCTAAATGTATTAATTTCCTTGCAACATCACCAAGACAGATCAACTTTCAACACAGTATCTTCATATGAAATCACAGCAACCTTCTGAAACATTTAATCGTCAAGCAAAAAAAAGAAACTTCCTCTAAACCTATGTACTATTTCTTCATGCAACTAATTTCTCATGGTGACCCTCCAAATGGTTTCTGTAAGGAATGATGAAAAGTAAACTATTTGTATCATTTCTTGGACTGTTCCTCTAGCTTTAAATCACATTGTCAACCATCTGGTTCACAAATTCTACATATCAATGTTTTACATATCCAGTCTTTTCAGACTTTTGGAACTTACCTTTCTAAAAACTTTCAAAGTTTTCCTCAGAATACAACACCTTCAAATTAAAATTGTTAGAAAACTTATTTTTTATCTACAATGTATCACTAAATCACCCATCCAAAATTTTTTACCAACGGGTAAATATTTTGCTTATAAGGATATGGCAAGAACATCACTTAGCTTAAGTTATAAAAGTCACTATCTTCAAATATACAATAACCATCTCATACCAGATAACAGCATTCAAAAGCTATTCTCATAACATCCTGCAGAAATATCTATAACAATCTTCTACTTTTGCTAATACTCCTCATTCTCAACACATTTTCAGGCACACTGCAATCACTAACAGTATTATAAGTGAAAATATAGCTATACAAAATCTAAAGGCTAATGTATTAAGTTTAAAAACTAAACAATTTGCCTTTACATTTTCGGTTTTATATAAATTCAAACATAAACATATTAGGTATAGAAATACTGGTTTTACTAAAACTATATTTCAAAATGTTTGAAAACAGTTATTAGTACTTGCAGAGGACCAATTACTAGAAGCAAAACCATTTTTGATAAGTCATTAAAAATTTGTATAGATATAACTGCTTTTGCAACATTTTCATAAAATTACCGACTATGTTATATTTTAATATAATAATATAATATAAAGTCCAGCTTAAAGAGAAATAATGACTGATATTTTGTGCATTAATTTTATAACAAGTGAAATACAATTATGTTTGATATCATTTGTACAGTTCCAATCACTACAAAACTGTCAAGCAAAATTGAGTAAAGGGGGAACATAGTATTCATGTTTTATTTTTTTGTTTACGCCTTAATGTACAGGTAGATCTGGAAGTTCATCCAGTTTGTGTACATATCTATACTGGGTACATGTATATCATTCTCATCACATGTTCCTTCTTGCATCTATGTGTAACCAACAGCTGAAGTTCAATGTGTACATGTGTGTATACATGTACTTGTTTGCTTGTCTTGCACTACTACAGTTTCAGTCTTATCTTATATAAACACTCTGGATACTTCTTTCAATAAAACTACAAACAGAAAAACAAAACAATTGTTATAAACATAATAAACATTACAGTGATACAACTTTTACAATTAGCCAGATGCTTGACAATAATGACTTAGGATATCATATACATAACATGTAAAGAAGATAAATTCACCTAGGTCTATCTGAACAAGGAAATACACTTCATACCCACCAGAATAGAAAACTGCAAAGTATTTTATAATTTGTAAAAAATAGATACTTTGAGATTAAATGTGGAAGCAATTTTGCATGAAATATAGCTTAAACAATTGCATGGCTGTTCACATAAAATCCACAAACATCCAATGAAAAGTCAACAAATCATCATTCTGTTGTAACACTGCATCAGGAACTAGACTTAAATTATCATAAATATGTATGTTTTATGACAGTAAAGTACAGTACTATCTACTTGCACTATTTATTAATTGTTAAATTACATTACTAACTTAACCAATTCACTGCGGCTGCAACATGTGACCTCTAAGTGTTTTTGTTTTGTTTTTTCTGTTCACTGTATTAACTCATCAGAATCAATGCTATCTAATCAATCCATAAAATAATCTGGATCCCAGCTCTGATGGGTCTTGCTGCTGTAGCAGTGAGATGTTGTCATACAGGCCTCTGATACCTTGAGGGAAACTGATGTATAGAAGGTGTAAATGATTCTCTTACTGTATGACAACATATAGAGAAATGTCAATAGACAACATTACCACAAAAACTTATGATCCAACATACTGTGGGAATTTTAAAAGCAAGAATCCAATTGTGTACCAGCTGCAGTGAACAGAAAAAATGCTTCAGAGGCCATATACGTACAAGCCTCAGTGAATGGGTTAAACAATTATGTACAACAATAGTATATTAGCTATTTCAATCATATATGTACATGTATGCACTACTGAAATAACATGTTAGCATGCTCCATACATCTAGGGTGCTTTTCCATAAATAACTTACGTGCAGTTTCAATGTTGATAACAGTGTCATAATGATTATGTACTAAAGCTGGAGTTCTCAGTCTTTCTTTGGTTTCTGGAGCCTCAGGTAATTATTCAACTGTGCCAAATGTTCACATGAACATGAACTTAGTGGCAGTGTGGCAGAGTTTCAGTAACATAAAGATATTTGGTACACTGAAGCACACTTTAAGCAGTCAGCCAGTATCTGGAACCTATCCTGGAGTGATATAGAAAGTCATCTTCACTTCCATTGATGAAGTTCTTCATCACTAACATCAGGATTTGGCAAATCTTCCCTATAACAATATGTAGCCTGACAGATATCAGAGATAGAAAACACTTGTGTGAGTTTTGATGACACAAGTTTCTGAATGGATGCTGCTTGTTTTACATGTGCATCAAATCTAGAGTGGTTATCTGCTTTCTTCAAATAACCCTCCACGGAACTATATTATGCATTTACACATTGGGCTTGTCCTCGACTAACTCGTGACTTGTTAATATTAATATTAGATTTATTTGAAATTTTCTGCTGTTTTTGAAGTTACGATGTGAATAATCATCTACATTCACTCTTAGAGAAGTCAGTTCTTTATAGCATTGTTCTATCAGGAAAACACCAGAAACAATGTCTTGGCTTGGACCTTGCAAATCTACAGAAGCTTCTTTCAAATAGTAAAGGGAATGTTGTAAGGTTGTTAAACTAAAAATGAATTCTAAGGATTTCAGTATTTTTAGATAAGCCATAGCATTTTTCTTATCTTCAGCAACCTAACTGTCATTAAACATTTCAAAATTATCATCTCATATGCAATAACCTCACACATGTGCAGTAAGAATGACTAACATAAACAGAACCTTTCCCAACCTTCAATATTCTCAACCTAGTGGGTAATTCACACACCGAGTAGTGGAAGATGTGAGGAAGTTTATATAGTGAGGGTATCATATTTAGTTATTTTTATAAGCAAGAGTTTACCGCAAGTTTGTTTAGATAATTGTTTTCAGATCATACGTTGTATAGCATGTACATTCAATTCTTATGAGGTAGCGATTGTTATATTATTGTGTCGTGTTACTACAACTTTCTGAATTTTTCTCTTTTTAATTGAGTATTATTGCATAAGAATGTCTACACATCAAAACATTATTATTTATATCTAGACTGTGTGATTGTGAGTTTAGCGATGAAAAGCATATAGTAGTGATTTTTAAAGTAAAATTATCACAGAATGTATTGCAATAATAGAGCAGAGAAGAATAATTCATCTTGTCAACTGTGTTCAATTGTA